ACACTCCTTTACTCACACTGGAAGTGCCACACCAGGAAACCAGCCACGAGAGAGACCAGGAGGATCACAAGCACAGCAGCCACGGGCACCACCCAGGGCCTGAGGCCTCCTTTCTCCACCTTCTTGGTGTTGTTGACCGGCAGGAACTCCAGGCCTTCCTCAAAGGCATGCATGCTCTGCACAGAGGAAGACACAGCCGCTCAGACACTCTCCCACCCGCCTGCCCCGCCTTGGAAACCCAGTCACTGCAGCTCTCCACGTACATGAATCCGCTCGGACACACGGAGAGGCCCAGGAGTGGGGCCCAGCCCAGGGCCATGACTGGCCACCAGGTGCCTCGGTGCAAGCTTCTAAAGGCAGCCCCTCCTCCAGCCGCCACGGCCCCAGGCCCCACCGATCCCCTGCCCCTGTGGGCAGCACATACTAGTACACTGTACACCCTACCCAGTGGCCTTGCTTCGCCAATGTTTAACCAGTTGGCCGTGCCACCGTGGAACAAGCCACCTTGCTTTCAGGCTTAGGTGTCCAAGGGCAGGATTTCAAGGTGAGGTGAGGAGGTCATGACTCTACTGGAATCCATACTCATGCTCAGACCCAAGAACCGGAAAAACAACAAAATGTCCCACAGCCTGGCTGGCCTGGCTTGGTGGTTGACCTATGAACCAGGAGGTCACGGTTCAATTCGAGGTCAGGGCACATGCCCAGGTTGCGGGTTCCATCCCCAGCGTGGGGCGTGCAGGAGGCAGCCGATCAATGATTCTCTCTCATCATTGATGTTTCTCTGTCCCTTCCTCTAAAATCAATAATAAAAGTATATTAAACAACAACAACAACAAAAAACACCTTCCCACAAACAGGATGGCAGCTTCCTGGGGTCCTCCCTGTAAAGGGGCATCAGGAAGTGGGGGGCGGGGGGGAGGAGCATGTGTGGATGGGGCAGGTGCGGGGCCAGCATGCCACGACAGGTGAACTTTTCTTTTTTTTTTAATAAATATATTTTTATTGATTATTTACGGAGAGGAAGGGAGAGGGACAGAGAGTCAGAAACATCGATGAGAGCGAAACATCGATCAGCTGCCTCCTGCACACCCCCCACTGGAGATGTGCCCGCAACCAAGGTACATGCCCTTGACCGAAATCGAACCTGGGACCCTTGAGTCCGCAGGCTGACGCTCCATCCACTGAGCCAAAGCGGCCAGGGCAACAGGTGAACTTTTCTAACACGCGATCTTCCAGCCTTCAATCCGTGTGTCATGAAATTGAACAGCTCATAGGCTTAACTACCTCATATCCACGGCAAAAGGAACTGTAATAAAAGCGAGAGCCCACACCCCAAATTCCACAGATGTGCCATTTTTAACTGTGTCCAGATGTGGCTCTTCTGGTGTTAACCCCAGAACTCTAAATAACCTGCTTGAACGGACATTTCTTGGTTTGTCACATTTAAACCTTCTCTATGAAAGGTTCTCCCCACTCCTGTCACATTTGGATACTTTTATCTCTAAAGTTTTAGTTTCCTAACTGGTTGTATCTGTCACTTTATGTAACATCGCACACAGAAACACACTCCACAGCTGACCTGACCATGGTAATCATATCACAGTACATAAATGTATCAAATCAACACGCCGTACACCTTAAACTTACGTATTATTGTATGTCAATTATACCTCAATAAAAATAAATTTTTATAAAAGATAAGAAACACACCCCTGAGGCAAACTGCTTGCTCTGGAATTTGCCCCCATATTTCTACATTATATGCCAGTACTATGATCTCTTGATTCATCTATTTAAAATATAATCAACTGACTTTTTTTATGATAATGTGGATTTCAATGTCCTTCCTTTGCTCTCACCCAACCTCCCCCTAGTGATAGGGCTAAAGTTTAAAAAAAATACATCCATACTCTGTGTTTTCATTATTAGACTCTAAAAATATTATTCACTATTGTTTCCTTCCCAGTACAACTATATTTTGTTTTTCCTGCTGCAAATATTCTTTCACTTGGGTTTCTTTTTAACACACACCCAAGTCTTTCCTTACAATCGAAGAGCTCTGTAATACTCTTCTAATCTTCCACATATAAAGTCTGTCAAATAACCTCTCATTTCATTTTCCTCCTGGGGACCTCCCTCCTACAGCCCTATGTCCTTTCTCATAGCTATTGTCTGGAATCTCCTTCACCATCATCCTGGGAATTCCCTTCTTCTCCCTCTTGTGTTAAAACCCCTGTTTCCTGGATTCTATGTCTTCATCTCTCTTGGATCATTTCATTTTGGTGGAGCACATACTTCAGTAGCTTCCGGAGAAATGTGAGACTTTGGATATTCCTGGAAGTACCTTAATTCTGCAGTCACATGTGTTGATAGTTTGGCTGGGTATAGAACTACAGGTGTCAAATAATTTTCATTTAGAATTTTGAAGGCTCCATCGTTTTTTAGCTTTTAATTTGGTTTTTGAGACATACAATAATAGTATACATCCATTATTTTTTATTCATGATTTTTCATCTTTTTCTGAAAGCCTAGAGGATGTGCTTTGAATTGTGTGGTTGGTGGTTTTTTTTTTAAATTTCGTGAGCTGAGATCTCCACCTGCCCTTTGAATTTGAGAACTCTTCTCTTTCCGCTTGGAAAACTTTCTTGTATTATTTCTTAGATTATATCCTCCCCTTCATATCCTCTGCTCTATCTTTCTGCAATTTTTATTGTATGTATTGATCTCCTACTTATTCTTTCTCTGCAATTATCCACCTTGTTTCTTAATCCTTCTATTGAGTTTTTCATTTCTGCTTTAAAACTTTAATTTCCAACAGTCCTTTCTTGTTCTCTGAATTTTTTACTCTTCTTGTTCTCTGAATTTTGGGTGGACAGTCTTCTCATCTTTGTATTTCTATTGAGTGCCTTTTCTCTTTCATGTTGAAGGCTTCCCCCAATGCCCAAGGATGCTTAGTTGTTCATGAATATTTAGGAATGAGGTCCGAAAGGCTATTTAGAAGCTTTGTGTGAATGGCTTGGCACAAGTGGCTTTTTTACTGGACATTCCCAACAGTTAAGCTATTGCAGATCTTTTCTATGGGGTGCTTTAATTGCTTCAGAGAATTTTTTTTTTTAATGTCTTGAATGGAGCAATTTAAACCAAGCCACTAACATTCCAGAACATGTCAGAGAAATCAATTTCTCACCCCTGATGAGGCACTGGTGCTGGTGGGATGGGGTGTTTTTGCTTGAGACAGAAGTGGGGATCTGAGGATTTCTAACAATGTCCTTCCCTTCTCACCTCTGTCTCCTGTGACACCAGAGCACAATTCCAGAGCCTGGCTGAGGATATTCTCAAAGAAATACAGCTCGATCCCCAGTAGGGGGTGTGTAAGAGGCAGTAGACCAATGATTCTCTCATCATTGATGTTTCTATATCTTGCTCCCTCTCCCTTCCTCTCTGAAATCAACAAAAATATTTTAAAATATATAAAACATTGCTGAGAGAAATTTTAAACGACCAAAATAAATCAAGCAACATCTCATGTTCACGGATTGCAAGAGTCAATATAGTCAAGATGTCTATTCTCAAGTTTGTCTAGAGATCCAATATAATCTTGATCAAATTTCAGCCAGCTTTTTGATGAGCTCTCTGCTCTGAAGTTCATATGGAAATGCAGCAGCCCATGAAAAGAAGAACAAAACGGGAGGACTAAAATCACCTGATCAAGACTCACTATAAAGACAGTGCATGTTTTTCTTTAAATTTCAAAAATCATCTATCTCATTTCCAAGAACGATGCTTTGTTCTTTGATGGTTACTTCATTGGGCAGTCTTTTCTTATTTTATGAAGGCACTACCTTCTGGCTCTTTCTGAGGTTACCAACTATATATATATATATGATGTCGTAATTCTCTTCAGAACTTTGTCTTTCTCTTTCAGGCTGTGGGTTTTCTTTCAATGGCCAATGGTTCTTCGTTGTCTAATCATATTTAAAGATTTAAAAAAAAATAAGGCTTTAGAGCTAGACTCTCTAAACAGAGTGTATATATATGTATGTGTTAGAAGAAATGTAAGAAAATAATTGTTTGTTGTTTTTATTTTCAATTTACAGAGTAATTTCACAACTATTTTCTTACTTGAGCCTTGCAACAATCCTGGAATCGCTCATGAGTGGTGCCACCACCCTGTCCTACAGACAAGGCCGGGAGAAATGAGGACTTTGCAGGATCACCCAGCCAGGCAGTCCTGGTCTCTGCCTCCCAGAGTGGTCAGCTTCCAGAACTCAGGAAGCAAGTATTCAGGGAAGAGGGACAGCAAGCCCCATGGAAAGGGCACCCCAGGCCTGGCCTGGGAGCAAGGCCATCAGCCGTGGGACAGGCTCAATGGCAGAGCCTTGATGGTCCCTGCAGTGTGACCACTGGGCTCCACTCAGCCCAGAAATGCTGTTTAATCAGTAATTAGACTGTTTCCTTTTATGACCCTACTCTCTGCTCCATTTTTAGCATGTTAGAGATTACTTTGCCTAATCCAGTGGTTTTATTGATAAGGAAACTGAGGCGGAGAGGGAGTGACCTGTACAAAGTCACAAAGGTAGTGAAGTCAGTAAAGCAGCAAAGCCAGGCCGAGAGCCACGCCCTCCCACGCAGGCGAGTTTCAGGCGTGCTCCGGTGGAGGAGGGGGCGGGGAGCTCCATCCACTCAGCTCGGCTACACACACCATCTCCCTCCACATAACAATCGCTCTGCAGGGCCACGGAGCCAGCGGGAGAGGACGCATGCCGGTGCCTGCTTTTGCTTCTTCCTGCTCTTTCGTAGAAGTAAACACATTGGCAGGTGTACATACAAAACCCCGCGCTGTGGACATACAAAAGCCAGATGCTTGCTTACTACAAACAGACAGAAAGGCCAATGGCCACCGGCCAGCCACAGGCCCAGACACCCTGCAGGGCTCAACGCCAGCTCAGACAAGAAGCCAGGAATGACTTCCTGGAGGACAGGTGGGCGTGAAAAGCTGGGGGGGGGGCGGGTACATGAAGAGTGAAGAACCTGGAGGGATGAAGGGGGACTACCCAAGGGGCAGGTTGCAGGGACAGGGTCAGATGATCGCCATTCCCATCCAACTTCTTATTTTATTTATTTATTTATTTATTTATTTATTTTTCCTCTCTATGCCCTCTACCACCTCCCCCTC